AAGTAATGTAAAAAATGGAAGGTGGCAAAGGATTGCGGCCTGGCAGCTTGCGGTAATCAGCATTAAAAATCAGCATTATCATCGGCAAGGCGGCGTCTAATGGCGACAACGAGACACCGGGTTGGGATTCCTTAAAGAGACTGCCGTTTCATTAGCGAGTCAAGTTGATTGGCTTTCGAGTTTGCTGCACAAACAGGCCAAGTCGCAGCTGCATTGCGAGTACGTAATCAAGATGAAATTAAAGCGAAAAGTTTGCTTTAAGTCGACTCGTGCAGCGGCAAACGCTAATTAGATTTTTTAGTTCCACTTAGCAGCAGGCCAGGGTCCATCGCCGGCTTTCTGCTCTCGCAATTCATGCAAATGAATGAAATTAAAAGCACATTATACTTTATAATACGCCCTGAATTGCCCCAAGCAAATTTAATTTAAAGATTTGCCGAGCTACCATCTATATGTATTGGGGGCTTAGGCCAGCTCCCAAGACAACCGCAGTGGCAAATCGTGGGCATAAGTGACTCGAGAGGACATAAATGCGGCAGGGACCCCATTGATTGGGTTTCGGGGCAGCCCTGATCAAAGTCATAAGTCAGCGGCATACAAATCTCCATGTAAATATCCCTTCACAGTTGAGTTGTCCTTTTCGGACATCCCGGGATGGCACAGCACGTCTAAGCAACTGGATTATTAACATTTCAATATAATTTGTGGTCCTGGTTCATATTCTCGGGATGGGCTGCCCAACTTTTCCTGCTGACGTCTGGGAAAATTAACGCGCCTCAGGACTTTGATCCTTTTTTTTTTGTGTGTGTTACATGTATATGTATGGGGGGAAAACCCGCTGCGTGTTGGTCCTCCGTATTTGCTTACATATTCATCAATTTTTGGGTTAAGTTGTGGGCGGGTTCCGAGTTGGGTTGGGTTTTGGTTTGGTTTATGTATGCGAATTCGGATGCTGGGCGGCCAGCACGTTTTGCGGTTGTTGGCGTCAAATTGTTTTGCTTGTTTGGGGCTTTCACTGTCACAGCGGGATGGTATCAGTGCGTAGTCGGTCAGCTGGTGGTTTTTCGACCGGCGCGCCAGCTAAACGCTTTTAGCTTTAATGCACTGCCCACTTAGTCCCGGCGAGTTCATAATTGCCATTACGCATACGCCGTGTGGTCGGCTACAAAGTGAATCGGCAAATGAGATTGCAGGGCCCGGTCCGAGTCCGAGTTCCAGTCCGGGTCAATAAAACATTAGGGACACATACATCTTGGCAAGGCCGTGGGCAGAGTCTCGCTCCCAGGGGGCAGATCAGCCAACCATCCAGCCATCCAGCCAACCACATCCTGCCCGGAATCGTGTCCTCGATGGGGTTGCGTGTAATTAAGCGCTGCAGCTTATGTAAGACAAACAGGAAATAAGGTTTAGCACAAACGCATAAATAACAACGGCAAATCAGTAAACCAAGGCAGCAGGCAGTGGGTAACATAAATAAAGGCATACAAACAATGAAAGCGGATAACATAAAATTTACAACAACTAAAGCCAACAATACAGGAGCAGCAGCAAAGGCATGACAAGGCGTAAAAGTGGATAGTTATGCACTGGCAGAAAATTTAAGTATGTGTCCGAGAAGGAACTGGAAATTACCCTTAAGAATATACAAATACTTATATGAAGTCGAGTAGTATTAAAGTCAACAAAGTTCTGTTTCAACACTTAAACTTAAACTTGGCAATAATGCTTACTTTTATTAAATTCATTTTGGTGAATCCCTTTTAGAAAGAACTTATTAATCCTTGTTTGATAACTGCTTCTAATATTTTTAGAATATTTGTACCTCTCTTGACACAAAGAAAATCCATATTTTCCATTAAACATTGGTTTATAAACATAACAGAAACAAAAACTAAGAAATCTTAATCATAGGCTCTTTGGGAATCCAGATTACTCTCATTTTCGCTAAGTGCTCCGTAGTTCCACACACATGGACACTTGTGTACACCCTGAGTAGCTTCCGTCTTTAATCAAATGGTACAAGGGGGCGTGCCAGGCGGCACTGCTGACACACTTAGTCCAAAGGCGACTCGCAATCCCCGCCAGCTGAATCACCTGGTGGCTCACTCACCTGGCTCACGACGTTGTTAACGCTTCGGCACAGAAAGACAGAAGGCAGAAGGGCACAGGAAGTTGGGGCGAGCGGAAAGGGGCAGGTGCGTCCTTCTCGGCAAATATACAAAACACTTGTAACTGCTAGCAAGGATTTATGATTAATTTATGTGTACATGTGTGAGTGTGTGTGTGTGCGAGTGAGTGTAAGACAACGACAACGGGCGACTGTAACGATGGCAAAAACTTAATTAACTCATTACATACGCACCGTTTTAATCAGCAAACGAGCCGACACGGAAACGAGGGAAAGAAATGAAAAGCTGCCAGCACGCTTGACATGCTGACACCGAGGGCGGCTGCCAAAAGGGGGCGTGGCATAAGGAGAGCTGCCAATCGAGCACTCGGCTCAGTGCAAATTTAAAGCGGCCTTTGACTGCAATTAGTGGCTGCCTCGTTTGTCTGTCTCGCACACATTCAGCCGGCGATACGTTGGAGTAGCAAGTTGCGTGCCAGGCTTTACCCCTATTCCCCCTTTTTTACCTTCATTCGGCATTTCCCATTTGCCTTTGAGCCAAGTGCAATGGGGCGAAAGCAATAACCTGAGAACCGCCGGAGCGAACCTCAACGATTGATTTACAATAACCCCAACTACTCGAGCCGAGTCAAGCCGCCTCAACGTACTAAGCCGCGCTCTGCTCCGCCACTGCGATTACAATGGGCTCATTAACGGTGGCGTATACGCAATTTCCAATTAAATAAAAAGTGGCCACGCACACACGAACGCAAGCACTGGGGGAAAAAGGGCGAGGTAAACTAAAATTGAATGCCATTTGCATTACATTATTCTACATTTTATTAATATGGAACAAATTATGTACTCTGGTAGTAGTTAAATTTTTAGTAGTAAAATAAAAACGAAAATATACAAATACACAGATTTACCGAAAAACGAAGCTCTTATAAACTTTTTCCACTTTCTTAGCCTAATTATGTAATTTTTTCCCAGTGTCCCCCTTCGTATATTTGTACACGTGCACACGCAGAGATTTACTCGTTGGGTTTGTGTTTTTAAAAGGCCAACAGGCCGCAGTCAGAACGATTCTACTTACTCAGTCCGCCCGGCAAACCCCTCGTCTTGCCATTTCTCCATCAATTCCGCTGGCTCTGGGAAATTCCTTTTAATATTTATTTAACACAAAAGCTTTCCGCATTTCGCATTTTGCCTTCGCTGCGGCCGCGACGACGACGTTGCCGTTAATTTTTCGCTTTGCTTTTCATTTTCGCAAAATTACCGGAAATGTTAATTTCTGCACGTGCAGCAGACAAGGCCGCTGGGTGGGGGGTTTGCTGGGTGGGTGGATCGCTGGGTGGCTCTTGCCCCGCCCATCGGCGTTGTCAGCCTCGAATGTTGTCGTCGTCGTAGTCGTCAGTGGGCCCCAGCTGAATAGTGCTAATTATTTAGGGTAAGAATTCTCTGTGTGTGTTTGTGTAAATGGGGAGGGGTTTTGGGGTTGACCCCCGAAAAAAGCCCCCCATTGCATTGGCCCTTAACCCATTACCACCCCTCGTGCGTCGCTGTGCTGGCTTTGCCTTTGCCATTGCCTTTTGCCAAGTCTTGGCAGCCAGTTTCGGAGCTCAGCGCTGAGCTGAGCTCAACCCAACTGAGCTGACACAAGAGCACACGAAGGACAACGAGGACGAGCAGCACCAGAACCACCTAAAATCCACCCGAGCACCACCCCTCTAGGATTTCCCATTCGCCGCATTCGCGACTTTTTTCTGTGCCAAAGAGACAAAGCACACAAAAATAATAATAAATGATTGCGATTCGTGCGAGTGTGGGTGTGTTTGCTTTGCATGCGAGTTTCTTATTGTATAGGTGTGCACTCTGAATATTTCTTCTTAAAATCGCATCGCAAAAATTGTATGTTAATTTGAGATTAATTTTATTCTCAAGCTTTCTTATTTATTTTTGGTTATATTTTATATATTATTATTATGTAGCGCTAGAAGTTTGTTTACACACAGTACACAGATTGCCAAAAAATATAATAAAGTTCAAATGCAAGATTATGATACTAATAAAAAACGTCTTTTTTAAATTAAAAAAAATCAGTTTTTCCTTTTCTAAGAAATCTAGACTTTGATACAAGGAATCTTTTCAAAAAAGTTCGTCTGACTATATCATAAATTTAATTTGCAATCTAGACAAGTTTCTGGAATTTAATACCCTTAACTTTTTAGAGTGTGGTGGTGGGGCAGGGGTTTTCTGCGTGGGTGGTTGGGTGGTGGGGTGGGCCATCACCGACTGCACTTGTGTTTGTGCAGCCTGCATGACAGCGAACGGCTTTGAGTTTGTGCATGTGTACACGATGTTTGGCCTGATGATGGGACCAGAAGATTCGAGCGTGCAAAGTTTACTTAGATGAATGGGTTAATTAGTATTAATGGGGACGTTCTTCAGGGGGCGAGTGGGCGACAGCACAAAAGGCACGCAGTTGGCAAAGTTTTTCGCGACGTTTCTGAAAAACTAATACAGAGTCGGTGGGAGAAGCACCCGCTTTGAACCCATCAATCTGCGGCGCTCCTTTGTGATTTCAATTAACTTATCTCTGCTTATGCAGCATAAAATTATATATGGGAAACTTTTCCTTCCTTGGATTATTTTCCTTTTTTTTTTTTTTGTGAATATGCATTAAAGAACAGCGTCAGCGTTGGCAATAAATTGCGAAATAAAAGCGCATGACTTGGGATTCTCTTTTGATTTGCGTTTTTATCTGGCGCATATTTTGTGCGATTCACGATGCGCCAGCGGCAGCAACCCTTTCCCAAAAGTCTCTGAAAATCTGTGAAAATCTGCGAAAAACCCGATACTCAACTTGGCACTTTCTCTCTTATTTTTGCAGAACAATTCCACATCTTTGTCGGCGACTTGAGCTCAGAAATTGAAACTCAGCAATTGCGCGAAGCATTCACACCATTCGGCGAAATCTCGTAAGTATTAAAATGCAAATTTTCCATTTGCCAGTTAACTTGAAATTGCCATTCTCCCATTTCCCCCATTTGGCAGCTTTTATTTCGGCTTTTTTCCCCTTTTTTCGCGACAATTTTCCTGTCACACATATACTCTGATTATTGGCAGGCGCGTATGGAGTGGAGGCCCACTACTCCATAAAAAATTCATAACCGAGCGGCAAAAAATGAATTTATGCAAATGCCACTTTGGCCGAACTCTTTTCGCTGTCTGTAAGTGTCGCCTCGAATAGCGGGAGAGGCAAAAAGCCAGGGCATTCAAATATTTAAGTTGCTATTTTTCGGCATGAAAAGGCAAAGTCACTATACCACCCACAACCACTTACCGCCCACCGCCCACCGCCCACCACCCACCACCCACCGCCCAGCGCCTTTCCCGTGGCAACGACAGCATCAAAAACTTGGCTTAATTAACTTCTGTTTAATCGCAAAGTTTTGAGTCAAAATGTTAGTCCGTCTCCTGGGAGGAGGTGCTCATCCAACTCCTCCCTCTCCTCTTCCACAAAAGGAGGCCCTGCGGCGGCTTATCAAAAATTACGCCAAAGTATTTGATTTTCGGATTTGCCGCTTGTTTGAATCGCGAAACGGGGCATTCAGTCAGCCAATCTGCTCTGCTCATCATCTCCCAGCCCATGGCCAATTTAAATTTTAATAATTTCAAAATCATTCTAATGACTCTGGCCTGATTGGGTTAAAGGGTTCTCTGATTCGCTAATGAGCTGGTCATGTCCTGGATCAAAATCGGCAGGAAGTCACGTCTTTTGACTTCGTTCGGTGGTATTTTTTTAAACCTTTTTTGGTCGATGGCAAAAAAGATCGATTTAAAGAGTTTAAATCTATTCTTATGGAGATATAATACTCCTGACTCCTAAAGAAAAGTCTTCCATATCGAAAGTCTATACAATATCAGAATGAAAACATTTCTGTAGGAACTAAGGCTAAAAAGATTTTAATGAAATCGAATGAAAACTACATTTGTTCAATAGAGCACTATAACTTGTCATGCCTTAAAATCAAATAATGTTTATAGGTAATTGTTATAGCCTCTGAAAGCATTCCATATACTATATGAAAGTAATATGCCAGGGAAAAAATCACTGCCTGTTGACAACCGTATCGATGGCTACACATTTCAGGCCTACTGAACAATCGATTGGCACCTTTGTGAAGCTATCGCTGACATCATTATCGTCGATACTCCCCGAAAACTCCGTCCACGTCGCCAGCTGATTATCTCGCAAAGTTGTGAGAGGAGGGGGGCGAGGGTGGACCGGCTTAAAGAACTTTATTTCTTTGGTTTTTCTTCAGGGCCCGAGTCGATCTGCTGGCCGACATGTCAAAACGCTTAACGCACAAAGTCGGCCGGATTCGGTCGTGCGGCTCCCAGGGATCAAGATGTCCCCTCCCAGGCTGTCAAAACTTTTATGCGTGCCTGGCGTTGTTTGCCCTTTTTTTTTGGCTTTGTTTCTTCTGGTTTTTCGGGCATTGTGTTGCCTGGTTTTGGCATTATGTTCTGGGCACCCTGGCGCATTTTGTTTCGTTTTGTTAAATGCGCGGCGCGTGTGAATATTTAATAAGACCTGGCAACGAACCCCCAGAAGCCAAAGCCAAAGACCCGACGGGTCTCCCGGCATTTTACTTATAATAATCATAAAAAAAAAGTTGCCGGTCCGAGTCGCCAACTTCGCCGCCGCTGTGGTTTATGCTTCATAAATGAAAAGTAAACTGCCGGACCGGGGGTAATTGCCAAAGTTTCCTGGCAGCCCGCTTTAGTGCGGTGTCGAGGCCCCAATTGTCCAAATGAGAAGTCGTACAGCCGCTGGGGGAAATCAATTTGAGCCCCTTGAGTCGGAAGTTGGCCAATTGGCACAAGTGCCGGGTCACTAGTGTAAGTGACCAAAACGAGCAGGTCCTTTGGCCATAGTAACAGTCAGTAATGAGCGCAGTTCGATTTTCGGGGCCAAATCACGGGTCGCAAAGCAGAAATTCATCAAAACTTTATCGTTATCTTAAAGCGACTTGCGACTGACGACTGGCTTCTTGGCAGCCCAAATCCTCCCTTTTCACAAACTGCAAGATAAATAAAAACTTTCCAGCATGAGGTCAGATTTCTAATTTCCGAATTACAAGGGCCCACGCCCACGCCGGCAAACACAGACTGAATATATTTGAATTTTGTACTCGAACGGAAATATTTGAACACGTCGGCCAGACCGGAGACCTCGGGAGATGTCTTTATTAGGAATTTGCATAAATTTTAAAGTTTGCCAGGACTTCCGTTCGGCGGAGGGAGGATATAGAAATATATATTTAAAACTTGAGAAACTCAGTGCAAGACTTTAATGTTTACATTTCGTGTTCTTCTCTTTTCTTTCCTTTTTTTCAGCGACTGTCGCGTGGTTCGCGATCCACAAACCTTGAAGTCGAAGGGCTACGGTTTTGTGTCCTTCATCAAGAAATCGGTAAGAACCGCCTGCGGCATTAGCATATTTAAGTGCATATTTATGCAGTCGTGCGCAGGCTCTTTATTTTAAATTCGGTTATGCACGGTGAAAAAAATATCCAAGAAATGAGAAATCGTACATTTTTAGCTTATCAAAATATTTTAAATATTTTATAGCTAAATTATTGACCTAAATTGTGATTTCATTCTTTAGATTTCATTATTTAATAATCTGATTTGTATTTATAATTGGTCAGCAATGTTTTAAAGATGATTGCCATAATACCAACTACTTACTTTTGATTCTGTAATTAAGTGTTCAATTCAGCATTCTTAAAATGATTTAAAGATATAGAAATGAAATTTCTGAAGTGATATTTTTTCCCGTGCCCTCCTTATTCCTCCTCCTGCGATTCTGCTTCTGACCGTGTCTCTGTCTTCATTATCGCCCCGCAGGAAGCCGAGAGCGCCATTACGGCCATGAATGGCCAGTGGCTTGGCTCCCGTTCAATTCGCACGAATTGGGCCACACGGAAACCGCCGGCGAGTAAAGGTAAGGAAATCATGAGTGTCACCCCAGTCGGCAGGCCAACGGTGTTTCCGGCGTGCGTACACTCCGGACTTGGGACCCGGACTTGGGACTCGAACTCGCACTCGCACTCGAAAACAGACCCAGACAGTCGACGCGTCCTTCTTATTACAGGAAATTATGGCAATGAATGCCAAAGGTAGAGCGACACAGGCACAATGCCAGGACCAAATTGTGAGGCTGGGGATTCAGGAAAACCGCCTGCTATTTATAAACGCTTGAATTTTCTGCCAGATTATGTTTTCTTAATATTTTTGTCCTTTCTTAAACGCCACGCGCTTAATTTCCGTAATGGGCTGTACCCAATTTGGTTTAAACTTTTTCAATTAGCTGGCAGATAAAAAAAAAACAAAAACCCCGCCGTCTAGAGGCATTCAATTAGGACCGACAAATCAATTTTCATTTAGGCCCAACGACACGCCCCCCAATTTATGACCCCGGATCGTTGTCAACCGCACAGACATCCGAGGACCGTAACCGTAACTATATACTTAGTCCGGGGCGTAATCATTATTAACAGCGGACAAACATGCGCGGGGTTTCCCTCGTTTGTCTTTCATAAATCAAAACTTAACGCATATTTGCATGTTTTAACATAATTTTTATTTGTTTTGTTAGACACACACACACCCACACACACACAGTCAAAGCGAATCAGATAAATAAATTTTGCCAACACGAAACTATTATCATAAAAGGCCCACACACACAAACAGGGTTATACAACGAATATTTGAAGGAAATAGTTGGAGTCAAGGTGGAATTTATCGTGCAGAGGCCCGAAAACTGTTGAAGGGTTCGGGAAAAAGTGAGGGAGTGGATGTGGAGAAAGGACTTTCCTGAATATAATATTTTCCCTTTGCATTTATATTGTTGTCATAAAAAACGCCTATGAAAGCTTAAGCGTATTTTTATTGGTCTCATTGTTTATTTGACTGTGTCACGGTTTTGTCTGCTCTTCTATTCTGTGTGCTCTACAAAAGGGGGGAAAGTAAAATTACTGGGCGGCTGTAGTTGGGGGCCTCCTGTAATACAAGTTATTATTAGCAATTTGACAGCGAAATAATTTTGATTTTTTGATCGCCCCGAGATGGGCTGAGTCGGCACAAAAAAACTGAAGGGGTATACCATACAATCGCTAAAGGGTTTTTATGTCCCGCTCACATATGCAAGGGTTGGAAAATGGGGTATAGCTTTTACGGCCAGCCTAGCGACTGCTGGCGAACTTTACGATTTGTAGCACTCAACTCATTTCGCATTTGGCATTCGCATTACTTCATGTTTTACGCAGCCACTTTGCTCGATTCTTTTGGCAATCCCAACGAGTTGAGTTGAGTTGGCCCCGGCATTTTTATGTTTTAAGCAGGCTGCACATTTCACGTCCGTCCGCGTTTAGTGGGCCACTCATGTGTCTGCCCCATTGTTGCCAAGGATTTACGATCCGGCGCAATTGCGCATTTTACAGTTGTGACAATTTTGGCGACGCTTTGCAATTTCGTCCTCAGCTAAGAGTTCCTTTTCCCCCCTCCCTCCCCTCTAACCAGGGGTTTATAACAAACGCATTTGCCGCGGCCCTTTTTTATGGCCCCTCCGCGAAAGGGAAAGTTCTTACAAAGTTTTTACCTTTGTCAACCAGAATAGAGACTCTATTCCAGTGCATGCCCATAAATAAGGCCCGAAATACCTGCAAGCTCATTATGGTAATAACTTAATTAACCAGAAACAATATGCCGACGACGACAATGCCGCACAAAGACGGCAACGATGTTGTATGACAAATTTCTTTGCCGAAACTATTTGACTTTTGACCCGGCTCTGTGTGGGTGTGGTTTATTGGCCAACTCGCAGCAAAAATATTTGCGAAAGTTGGGGCTACGTGAACTCGTTACATGGCAGTTGCCAGTTGACGCAATAACATTTTATGCAGAGTTGCGCACAATTAAGTAAAAGTTTAAATGCCTGAATGCGTTCGAGTTGGGAACTAAATTCGGGTAGCTTTGGGTATAGTTAAGACAGGTAGAATGAAGTATAAATAAAGTTGAGTAAAGTTAAAGAGTTGTACTTGTAGTTAAAGAACTTCATCAATTTCTTATATGAAAATTTTACAATAATTAACAAGGGTGTTAAAGACAGATACATTACGAAAAATACGTCTTTTTTCAATGCCATACTTTAAAAATCAATTTTAAAAGTGATTTTAAGATATTTGCAATTTTTGTGCCTTTATTGCTTGTCTTACAAATAAATCTAATGGAATAACAAGTTTTTTTTTAGGAATTTTTTGTGGTAGGCAACGACCATTCTGATTAGCACCTTGCCACGCCCTTTCGAGACGCCCCTTAGCAACCTTAAAAAAAACCGCCCTGTTTAACGAGCATTTCCATGCATATTAATTACTTTTGAATTTCCTCAAGTGTTGGCCACGTCCTCAAGGCTCGCGTTGTTTTTGCCGCGTGTAAAAATGTGAATTATTTATGTTAATGATTTGGTGATTATTTCATGATTTAGTTTTACATGCCTATAATTGCTCATTAAAATTTCAAATCGCCGGCGAAAACGGGAGCACCTGCCGGCGCGCCGTTGGCATTCGGTGTTTGCCCCGATAATGGCCCTCGGGCTGACCAGACTCCAATTACTTGTGTCTGGGAAATGGGAAATGGAAAATGGGAATGCACATGGTTTGTCGTAGACAAAAATGTGCGATAATTATGGCCACGCTGGCTACGAAAGTGCTTTAATTTGCTGCGGACATGAAACTTGGCCAAGTTAACCCAAACCCCAAGGCTGGCCACGTAGGACGTATGCGAATATGTGGGCTCAGCTCGTTGGTTGCATTTTCAAAACTTAATTACACCTATTTAAAAGCGTAAAAAAGAAATTAGAGAAAACAAAAAGTGGAAATAATATGGGGGGAAAAATGAAGGTGCACACGAATACAAAGCAAAGTGCAAATTAGTGAAACATGACGCTGTAAAGTATGCTATGTTTCTTTCAGCCAGGTCCTTATTTAGATGCACTGACAAATAAATTGAAAAACGATTTTAGAAATATTACATAATAGCTAAATGGGAAAATAGCAAGTGAAAGAGTTTTCAGAAGATTGTTTTAAAATCACATGATATTTTAAATGTTTTTTATAACTAAAGATTGCCTTCTGTTGCGACATTTTTTTTGGTAATATTTTTTTTATACCTAATTATTTTTTTAATATTATAAATTTTCGAAATTTTTGGGTGTACCCTTTTTTCTGAGTGTTGTATTTCTGATTTGCGTGTGTGTGCGTGGCCAAAGCGCATACATTTGTGGCAAAAGCTTTCAAAAGTATTTGCGAGCTTGTTAGTTTTCCGTGTTTTTCGGCTGCACCCCCGCCACGAAGCTTTGATTGTGATTGTGGTGGCGTGTGTGTGCTGCAATCCTGTTGCATGTCATTGAGCCATATTTTTGTGTTTTCTTTGGCATGTTCGCTGCGCAGTCGAAGGCAAAACAAAAAGCAGTCGCACACACAGAAGCCCAGACATCCTGCAATGGCATTTTGATGGGCGAGTGGAAGAATGGGGGCGGTAGTTGGCTGCCATTAACAGGCCATGTTAAGTAGGCATGGACTGGACCCACAAAGTGCTTGGACTAAACTCTTCTCCCAACTTAACTATTCCCCATCGATCTATGCAACTGTCATTAGGGTTATAAGCACCGGCATACAATGCGTGGATATCGTACGGAAAAACTAAACAAAGACATAAACACGCAAAGCTGACATTATTTTTAAAAGTGCAAATTTAGTTTTAACCTCAAAGGAAGTAATTAGAGTAGCTTTTGCATACAAATACGTGCATTCATGGCTTATACGAAACAGCAATCAGGGCAACGACAACGACAATGTGGGGTTCTTTCATACCATTACTATATACACATATATATGGAGTGAACCGTATACAGTGAGTGCAAAAAGCATGTCGACAATAAAACGGCATACGAAAAATGTATATCCACAAAATACGTATAATAAAAAATGCAATAACAACCGCAACAATTTTAAATATGCAAAGGCAACAACAAGAAAGCAACGGTAAATGGTGTTGCAACCACGCCCCCGACCCACGCCCCCCGTCACATACACACACATATAGGAACCGCACACACACAAGCATATTGACTAAGTGCATGCGGTTATTTTAATTACCAAAACGTTGCCGAGGCTGCACTCGTTGCGTTGTTGCTGCCGTTGTTGCGGGTAAATCCGTTAATTAATTTGCATATTAATCATGCAGCTGGCGAATAAAAACGGGGACGAACAGAAAAAACTGCGCCCATACATCGAAGATTCATCACACACACTGAGTAACACTTTCTCCCCCGTTTTTTTCGCTTCCCCCTTCAGAGAACATCAAGCCGTTGACCTTCGACGAGGTCTACAATCAGAGCAGTCCCTCCAATTGCACCGTTTACGTGGGCGGCGTCAACAGCGCCCTCACCGCCCTCAGCGAGGAGGTCCTCCAGAAGACCTTCGCCCCCTTCGGCGCGATACAGGAGATCCGTGTCTTCAAGGACAAGGGATACGCCTTCGTGCGGTAAGATAAATTCTTAGAACAAATTTGAGGAAAATCTATTTTTAGAAATACTTGCTTTTGTTATCGATTTTATGAAGCTTAAAAGATTCCCTTCATACCCGGTTTTTAAAAGTTCATCATCATGTTTGGGAACATTTCGAAGTCATTGTACTTTTGTTACCATTTCTGGATTATCTATATTTTACCAAATCTCTTAGAACCCGCTTGTAAATAATCTTACATTGACATATTTAAAGTTTATTAAATTCACATATCTAAAGTTTATTAAATTGAATAAGAATTAATAATAATTTAAAAACCATTTTAGGGTTTTCTATACATCACCAAATATTTTAAAGACTTATTGTTAATAAACTAATATTCAGAGGTTATTTTTGTGCCAGTTTTTGAACAGCATTTAAGTTGTATAGTACCTTGTTTAACAAACTCAATTGCTATTTGTGTCAATTAAGTTACATTGTAATTAAACTAAGAGTTTTTTAATTGTCCTGATCTATTATTAATTTCCCCACTTTTTCCGACAGTTTCTCCACCAAGGAGGCGGCCACCCACGCCATTGTGGGCGTGCACAACACCGAGATCAACGCCCAGCCCGTAAAGTGTTCGTGGGGCAAGGAGAGTGGTGACCCCAACAACGCGCAGACCATCGCCACCCAGGCGCTGAACAGTGCCGCCGCCGCCGCTGCCGGTTTCCCCTACGGAGTGGGCGCCGCCGCCGCCGCCGCCGCCTACGGACAGCAGCTGGCCGCCACGGGCTGCTGGTACTCGCCCACGCCCACCTACCCGGCCTCCTCGGCCACGGCCGCGGCGGTGACCCCGGCGGCGGCCAGTGCAGCCGCCGTGCAGAACCAGTTCCTGCAGGGCATCCAGGGATACCACTTCGGCCAGTACGGCGGCTATCAGCAGGGATACATGGGGTGAGTGGGGGGTAATAGTAATGGTGGGGGTCAGGGGTCAATCCATTGTCATTGGATTTGCGCACAATAATTTTATTAGCTGATTTTCCTGGCTAGCAAAGTTACCAGGGGGTAGAGAACTACATTAAGAGAAAAGTATTGGGTAAAGAAAAGAAGAATATTAACAAAGTTACATAGGAAAACTTTGAAAAGTATTAATAAGTGAGCCAGTAATTTGTTAATATAATTAACCATTTTCAAGCAGGCCATTTTGGAGGAATTTAAAGGGTATAAGTAAAAAATATTAAAAATACATATTGGTGTTTCCATAAATTGCTCAGACTACAACTTAATTTGGTTTGCCTTACGAAGTGTTTTCTATACTAACAAATTCAAAGTAATATCATTTAACCCAAGAAATAAGCTTGTTCAGCAACCAATTATTCTCTCTGTGTAAGAAGAGGAATCCAACGCCCCCCCATTTCATCTGTGTACTTTGTGCAATGATTGAACCGCCACCGGGGATCGGCAAAAACAACAACAGAGGCGACACCAACAAGGACAGCATGACGGATGGGTGAATTCATTTGCTAATTGCGAAAGTTTTTCATTTGCACCGCCCTCGGTCTGCGGCCGTATGAAATACATTTTCGCGTCCGTCGGGCTGTCAACATAACGTGCTATTTGCATCGCAGTCGCGTAAATTTTGTTTTCCGTTCTCCCAACTGGCATCTCTTTTGGTTTCGAATCCCTTTGCCATCCGGCGACTGCCCGTGATAATTGTGGCGCACACCACGCTTCGGGGACTTTTCGCGGGCGGATCAGCAAACCCAGTAATGCAGCAGTACTGCACTCAAGAAAATATCAGAAAAATGTATATCTTTTAATAGGATGTCGTTGAAAAAGTAATTGTACAACCCTTAATGTACTTCATCATAAGCTTGTGATACTGCAAGATAATTTTAAAATTAAATTAATTAAATTGTCTTTAATATTTTTAAAGATTTTATGATAAAGAATAACTATCAAATTGTTTAAAAATATAATTCAAATAAAATCAGGGTTTTAAGTATCCAAAAAAAAAAGAATACTTAACAAATTTGATTGGTTACAAGTTATTAGCTTTAAGTAGAGGTAATTGATATTATCTTAAATGCACTTCTATAAGATTTTTCCGAATTTAAGGATAAATAAAAACAGATTACGAGAGCCTCCTAAGAATTCACAAATTCTCCCCTTTATCATCATTTCTCCGTGTGTACTCATGTTTGGAAACTTTGAACCCTCGTTGCAGCATGGGAGTGCAGATTCCGGCCACCTGGCAAGGCGTCACCCAGGCGCAGATCTCACCTGCCCAGCAGCTGGCAACGGGCGTGGCCGGCACCGCCATTCCGCAGGCCGCCGGCGTGGTGGCCTATCCGATTCAGCAGTTCCAAGTGAGCCCACAGGTAGGTGACGCCCACTCAAATAGAGATACAGATACATTTACAGACACTGATACCGCATAGATATAGATACATTGCCCGACACATTGAAACATTTTTCGTGCATCTCTCCTACGTTTGTTGAAAGTTTTGAATGTATTTTGGATTCCATTATAGTCCGCTCGATTCGATTGAATTCGATTTGATGCGATTCGATTCGATGCGTTCGGTTCGTTAGGGTGTGCGATGGGTTGTTTGCTCGGCAGCTGTGTGTGCACACTCGATATGCGTACATATTTTTGGCTGCTATCAAAATATTCCATCGCCATTCGAATGCCTTTGCTTGCTAATGTTATTCTTTTGCATTTGCAATATCGAATGTGGACAGAGACAATTGTAATCTGTCAATATGCATGCATGTTTTTGATTAAATATCATTATTCCAAAACGAAAGGGACTAAAACAATTGAACACAAAATATATTGAATAGTAAAATAAACATTCCGATGATACATTTTAGTTGAACGATTTTTTTTTTGTTTTGGCCTCCAGTAAAATATACTTTTTGCATGTATTGCTTAGTAATCTTGCCATAAATTCGGCTTTGGTATTATCTTTTAACTGTAATATATTTGCCAATTAGTTTGTTCGTTTTATTTGTTTATCTTGCGCGCTTACATAATTCAAGCCTCTCTGATCTGTAAACAATGCCAATAGAATAATTATTTTAGCTTATCAAATATATGTGTTGTAGACAAAGAAGCAAGCCACGTTTTTGCATTACAATTACTTTTATTCCGTCTACTACTTTTTTCCAATTCTTACTAACACCCATATTATTTTTTAAGGTTTATCCTTTACTCTTGCAGGCACAGTAAACGCAAAAAGCCAAAAACCGAAAATCCAAACCAAAATTTTTAAGTACAGCTGCAATTTTCTGAACAGAAACAAAACCAAACTGAGCTGTAAATAAAATGCGAAGCGCAGAACACACAAATTGCAAAACAATTGATGGCAACTTGAAGTTTGGCGATTTTAGCGAGCTGCACCCCAGAAACAAAAGCAAGCGCGAATGCAAAATCCGAAATCCCACACCCACATAAATATATATCTATATATATATATATATATAACTAGAGCATAAATATCTGTCAACGCCCGTTGAACAAGCATCGGGGGAAGCAAACAATTATTATGTATATGCAAAAAGCAAAGAAAGCGAACATATTTTTAACCCTAGTTGCTTACACCACACGGACACACACACACACCTCACACCATATATTTTAATGCTTTATGTAAATGTGTTGAAGCACGGCGCGTATAAAAATAATAATGACAATTATTAATTAAAGAAGGCAACATGAGAAATTGCAGGCCAAAATGGCGAGCGTAAATAAAAGAGGGGAATATAAATTGGACTAAGGAAAACGTAAATCGAGTGGGTTGTAGCAGCCTAAATCAAACACAGTCGCGGCATTAAATTAAAATAAACATAATTAAAAATGCGTTAAAATTAATTAAGCGCACACAGACAGGCACAAATGTATGTACGTATGCAATTAAATATTGATGTGTGTGTGTGTGCAAACAGCCCTTAACCCCATAAAATCATCCTTCTCACAACAGGACCCGCATCACTTTGCATTGCCTACTTTTGTGCGCAGTTTGGTTCTAGCTTAGCACACACACACACTCACTCGTACACTACTTTTACGGGGCGAGTGAAAGTAGATTTTTATCCTTTTTTAATCATCTAACATATACACACTACAATATCACATATGATTCTATAGATAATTGAATAGTGTGTGAGAGTTAGGTGCTTTGAACGAAAAACAAAAACTACTTTCACTCTTACCTAACCACACACTTAGCACTAGTGCCTATAACTATGATAGATGATACTGCTTAGAAACAACTGCCAGTTATCGGGCCAAGTGCAGTTGATTGGCCAACTAACTCGTCATGTCCTGCTATCATCATTTCCTATAGAATGCAACTGAAAGTTCACGCACTCACACCGATTTGTGATCGATCAGCTATCGAAAGACAGGTTCCTACACACGCACACTCACACGGTCTCACCAGCACTCGCAGTTCGAAGTATCTGAAACATATATAGTAATCGTATGAAAGTCCAGGAAAATCCAGCCAGCCAACCAGCCCATTATTTGCCTGAAATCCGAATCTTGTTTCATTAAGATTTAAGTTTTTCGCTTTACTTTCAACAAGCGCTTTCACGAGAGCCACATGTACAAAGCAGCCGCAAAAATGTTTCAAACTCCCTCCAAACAACTTACTCTTAAAAACACGCCAGTATTAACCCATGTTTGTACATGTTACGTTTATGGTTTTATTTCAGTTGCCAGAAGAGGAATGGTTAGCTGCAAATTTGTTGTGTTAGTTCTCTGTTGTTTAGGCCAAACGAAAGCGATAAGGAAACCCAAACCAAACTGAAACCAAACCGAAACCGAACCGATAACCAAACAGAATATCCAAGTAGCTAATAATATATATATGGTATGAGTACGAGTAATATATAAAGAAAATGAGAAAGATAAAGAGAGAAAGAGAGAGCAGAACTCCCCTACACAAGTAAAATATATTGAAAACAATCAAAGTATGCCATCGAATGATATTAATTGATATTAGCTAATCGAGCATAGCCGTAATGCAGTAGATATTATCGCCTAATCATATAAGCCAATAAAAACACTTGCAGCCCAAACAGACAGTGAGAGAAAGGAGCCGTCACACACAGGACACGATACCCAGAAGGCAAGCATTAATCAACTTATGACAACACCACACCACACCACACACCCACTCACACACAAATCTATAGGGATCGAGAATTTCGGATGGTAGTACATGAATGTGAAACATAAAAATAGTCATATGGTAAATACAACTAAAAGTGTAGAGTATATAAATGTAAAGTGGTAAAGCCTAGACTTAGCGTTGGTTGATAAGTACTTAGAGTATACAGCATATGCATTAAACAAACATGCTTATATAACATATAGCATATATAGAGAACACTCACACAACAACAAACAGCGCCCACTCACACACACACATACACATACACACATGGTGTTTACATATAGAGATGAAAAACTAAATGCGAGCAACATATGGTAAATGATATTTATTGTATATTGTGTTGTATGCGTTGGATGATAAATCACAAATAGATGTTCAAAATGAAAACCAATTAAAACGATGACAGCAACAACAACAACAGCAACAGCAGCAAGCAGAGATCCCAAGTAATAGAAATAGCAATACGCATACGTAACGTAATCGCAATCGCAATAGCATTCGCATATATTCGTACGTATCGGACAATTAAGCTGCAAAGGACGAAAAGGACGAGGCTTGATTTGCATTTGACACGCCCCAATCCCCAGCGACTGGCAGCGTGGAATTTGTTATGTCATTTTTTTAGTGGAATTTTTCGCAGCTAACGGAGCAGAGCATTTAGTAACTCGCGTGTGGCCCTAGCACCAGTAAATGTCTATTGATAATACCCACACCGGAACACGTATATGTTCGCAGGATGCGCTCACTCAGTACGATAAGATGGGTCTGGGGATTTTAAACAAGAATCAGAGGATCAGCAGGACACGTAGTAGTCTTTAGGAGCAGTCGTACTGTATATTTAAATGTTTTTAGCACTAGAACTTAGAGGAACTACGAGGCGCATGGCATGCGACTTAGATGTAGATGTGATTTTAAAGAGGGCGGGATTGGGCCGCATAAATGCAAGTGAAGTGGAGCTGACAAATGCATTTTTTGTTGTTATTTTATTTCCTAGAAATTTTGTTAAGTGAAAAAAAGCGAGAACAAAAATTTGAAATGTTGTTGACCAAACGAAAAGAAAGAATAAAATAATCATAAAAAAAAACAGTTTTGCAGAAAACAAAAATTTGGCTAGGAAAACAAAGAAGAAAAAAACCATTTATAAGTGAAAAAGTTTATAGTTAAGACAGAAAAAAACGAAAAAAAAATATTATCGGTTTGTTTGTTAATGTTTGCGCTACATATCAGTAAAGAGTTAAAATGGGTAGTTGGCACGTAGAAATAGTGAAGAGTTGGAAACTAAATAAGAATTCAAATGTGGAAGGTAAGAGGCATAAAAACAAGCTGACGAAGACGACGAACTAAATAATATACAAATAATATAATAAAAAAACATAAAAATTATATAAATAACAGCTGTAACTGTATGTATTTATGTTGTGTAACTATAAAATGTGCTAAGTCATTTATATACGTCTATATATATATATGAACATATACAAAGTATTTATACACATGGAAGCCCACGTCACATATACAGCAGAGAAGGACTAATCCTGTTAGAGGATTTGCCCAAAACAAAGCCACTACAAAAGTACTGTGTAGCTGCACTATATTGCAGGATGATTATTATTATTCATCGACTCAGGTTCTGTTCCGCTCATAGCCCATTTCCACCATTAGTCAAGCATAATTCAATTCCGAGTCCTTCGCTTTGAGTTACTAATTCGGTTTGGGTTCAAAGCCAACTACACACTGAAACGATTGCAGTTATTAACCATAAACTACAATTACCAATTAGTCAATTCGAAGTGTAATTAACTGGAGTGCTGAAACAGGAGCAGTTAGCAAAATTTACCACACGCAACGCGAAAAACAAGCGCTGCATGTGGAGGCACATAGCATAAATTAAACTAAACGAAGGGAAAACAAATTTTAACGAGATCCAATTGCAGCAAGGCGAAACCGAAAATCAATCAAATAAAAGTATTATCTAAGCTACAAACAATTATATATATTTACATGCAGACAGACCCTTCAAGGTGAATGGCAGTGCATACTATTTATCCGAGTTCTGAGTGTGTTTTCCGTAAGTTTAATTACACACCAGTTAGGGATAAGGCATAAGGATCTAATTTACAGGCAGACGCAGAGCAGAAATATTATATTAAATGTACTAGCCACGAGAACCGTTGGAACCAAATCAAATTCAGTATAATCCGAGCAGGCAGGCAACCCAGGATATTTTTGTGCAATAAACCAGGCGGATTGAAGGGCATGTTATGCAATTAAAATTACACTAAGATTGTAAACAAATCAAATGCAAATGTAGAAAAATCAAACGATGAGCAAACAACCAAAAGCTGCTAACAAAACAAACATCAAAGGAAAAACAAAAGCTAAAACCAAAAAAGTTTTGGAAGGCATTCGACACGAGGACAGAACTCACACAGACACAAATACAGATACAGATACAGACACAGACATAGATATCGATATTATACGAACAATATATATATATATATATACACATATATATATACAGACGTAAAATATGATAAGTAAATAGCAAATAACTAAAGTAAACAAAATATAGATATCGACTGCAGTATTGCAAATATTTTGTAGAAATTTAAGCATGTTTGAGTGTGTTTTAGGACAAGGACTAGTAAACACAAAGGCGAAAGGCAAACAGGATGAAAAAATCGAAAACATTGTAGCGGAATATAAGGGCCGAGAACATAAGAAAACAACCAAACAACAAACAACAGCAAGAACAAAGCCGAAAATTCAAAAACCTAATGCATAAGCTAAGTATTAAATATACACTAAAACAGAAAAATATATATACAAATTAAATACGGCATCACAAGTCACACAGACATACACACATACAAAACGGCATTTGCATAAGAAAACACACAAGTGAAACAACGTAACGAATATTAAAAGAGTTAATCAAATTAAGCATAACAATTCAAAGGAAAAATATTTATAGTTGAAAAACAAACAAACAAATAAAAACCAGGATAATTTGGTTGCGTATTTGTATACCAACGCGCCAAAGAAACCCGAATAACCCAGCAGCGAAATGCAAGCAAAATATTATACAACAATGTCAGCGAAGCGTAGCGGTCACCATCTCATCGAGAAAGTTTCGACAGAAAGGTGACCCCGACAAATGGGGAATGGTTTTAGAGCTAGACGCTGGGTTGCCATAAGAGGCGAAACGCATAGAGAAATTATACTTAGGTGACAGCAAAAAAAACAAAAAACACAAAAATAACACAAAAACAAGAGTGTAATAACAAACAAGAGAAGAGAAGAAGGCGAGATGGAAAAACAAAGAACAACTGCAACATAGAAATGATGAAAATAAGTAAATATACCGAATAAACAACAAAAATTATATTATGTATACATAAATATATTGAAAGAAAACAAATAAAAACGAACAAAAAAATTTTGTAAAAATAAAACATCTGAATTGTGTTCTAATTTCGTTGGGCTTTTTTCAGGATTCTAAAAGCTATTAATTCGTTGTCTTTAAAATTAAATTTATTCTTGGTTTAGTATTTTCAATAATAATTTTTATTGTTAAATTTCACAAATTATTAACACGGAGAACCGTTTTTAAGCGTTGAATTATCGAGCCACCCATGCCTCCTTCAGTCCCATAAAATTCAACCAAGATGATTTTGCATTTTGTTATTCGTTTGCTTTATGATCTCTGTGTATGGAAGTTTTCCCGGCTGGCTGCTCATTTCCCTCGAGGCTCTTGGCCATCGCTATCTGCTGTTGTTTTTCATCTGCCTTGTTTTTGTGGAGGGCTTCGCTTTCCATTTACACAGGTGACATGAAGAAGACGTTCTGCTACTTATGCGTATGCCCCACAGGTGAGTTCGTTAAAAACATTTTTGCCCCGGATGGGGCACACTCGTGTTCGCCAGGAGATCCGAGATCCGAGCCACCTGCTTGCCAGTTGGGCCGCCAAGGATGGATTGGCATAACAAAGGCAAAGGACAACACGTGCAACAATAACAAATCAAAAATTTACAGAAACAGAACAACGACAAAATGCTGAAGGGGAGAAAGCAAAGGCAGCAGCAGCAACAACAACAAGGCAGCGGAAAAGAGCGGTGGGATATGCAAAGCGGAAAAAAATGTTTAAAACATATTTTTTTTCGCCAATTCTTTTTGTTGTTTTGCCGTCGCGACTGCTGGCTCTTGTTTCACATTTTTGCCGCAGGTTAAAACCAGCAGACTCACACACATGGAAACAAGAGCGCCCATTTATATTTATTGTGTGCGTGTGAGTGTGTCTATTATCACAAAGATTTCGAGAACACTCACACACACACACACACACAAACACAAGGACCCCATAATGGCTGCATTTTTAAGCAACATATGCGTTACTTTCACTTTCCCCCTCACATGTGTATGTGTGAGCAAAGTAATGGCGCTATGTTTGATTTGCATTGCAAATCGGCGTAATTTTGCAAAATGTCTTCCTATAAGAGAAACAATATGTTTTATTTACTTACATTTGACTTTGATTTCACTGTGTCATTCGCAACCCTCGTCTGATTTCCTTTCGCAGGCGTGCACATGTTTGACTGAGTTTCCTTTGCCTAAAAAAATAAAGGCGCATATAAAAAGTGAAATCTAAGCCATTGCTTATTTCAACTTTACGCAGGACGAATATGGGGGCGTAGGAAAAAATAGATTGTTTGACTTGGAAATGCTGTGTACATACGGATAAGTACATTTCGCCTGCAAAGTTTTTCTAGGGATATATTTAGACTTGTACGAAAAACAGCAGCTGTATTTTAACGTGGCATTGAGTATTTACTGAATTAAATTCAGAAATAATATTGCAAAAACGCACAACCAAAAATAATCATTTTTTATATGAGCTCTCTATTTCTGAAGCTGTTTTTTTTACTGTTTAACTTTAACAGCAATAGCTGAATGGCTTATGATCATATATTATCTGAAATTGTTAATTGTTAATTTTTCTTTTTCTATTTTTAATTAGACAACACAGCCTTTTTGTATGTAGTTAAAAACCTTCCCAAGGCTACAAAGCTAAAAGCCAATAAAAATAAAATAAAAGATTTTAGTACATATAAAAAATCTAGGCAACTATTTTATAGGGCTATAACCCGGTATTCGAAGTGACACTGCTTAAGCCTCCACTTCACTTGACGGCATGTTTAGTTAATAATTCCCATAGCTGAAAGCCTGTCGCATCCACTAAGTCGACACGGTAGCAAGAAGCATTTTCTGCATAACAGGATATTTGCAGAATATAAAGAATGTATCAGCAGCAGCTGCAGCCGGATGCCAGGAGGCGGTGGGGCAGAGGGGGCAGGGGTAGGGGCAGGGACAGGACGTGCAGCTGTGCGACGGAAACCGGAAATGCGCAAATAGCAGGGCACTGAAGATTTTTACGCTCAGCACGATTCCGCACGGCAACGTCATTGGGCTGTGACCGCATGCTGAGCTCAGAGCTCACTGCCAGCTGAGTGGCTCCGTATCCCCATATCCTGATGCCACCAGATTAGACACTCAACAGGACGAACAGGGGAGCAACAATGCAGCTGGCAGGCGACAACACCACTTGACAGCAGATATGCATTTGTGTTTTTTTCACTCGCTTTTCCCTGATGCCCCGATATATCCTGCCCCGAAAAGTATGCTAGCCTTTAATTGGGTCATTCGCAAACGGGATGAGCGGTGAGCAAAAGTTTTTCCAATACACGGGAATCATTAACATACAAAGCACCTAGTAATTTATGGGCAAGGACCCCCACACTTCTGGTGGTATTTTTCGGCATATTACCGGACGCTTATGACTGCTAACTGATACAGATGCCACCCCAAGGAAAACACGTGCCCTCGTCTGCTGCGTCCTCGGACAACCACAATTCGGGACATAATGAAGCAAACAGTTTTCGCAGAGAAAGCAGGTCCCGCCCACAATGTCCTGCATCGTTACAAGTAGCCGAATATCCTCGGCTCATAACACAAAACAGAACAAATGTCCTCTGCTGATAAAGCCTCATAATAAATGTCGACCTTTCGTTTTTCCATTTATATTATCAACTCAGGGGGAACACCGAAACGAGGACTTTTTGGACAGCCACGAGGATAAAAAGAGGCAGCTGAGGCCGCTGCTGTTAGGACCTTGTTGTTTCCACACCTCCCTCTATGTCCACACTGGGAAAAGGGGGCGTGGTCGCATTGTGGCTGCTGCTGCCGTGTTACCTGTATTACATATATACTTAGTATATTAAAATTTATAACAAACAATGCGACCTGCAAAAAATAAACAACCGGAGGTCAACAACTTTTGCATACTCTTTAAATTAAATGATTAAGGATAATTTGACTAAAGTTGGTCGATTTAAAAAATGGCAGTAAACTTAAAGTCAAGAAAATGGTATTAGGAATTGTTTCTAAACATAAATTTTTAAATTAATTTAATTTAAGAATTAACTAAAAATTTTTAGAAAGAGCATCGGTTGAGCAACTTTCCTCGGTCCTTTTTAGAGCAGCTCTTTTTATAGCGCCGGACAAATCAAAGCTCCGGAACCCGAAGGACACACACAGGGGCAAAGGCAGCGGAATTTATGTTACTTTTCCCGTTTGTCGCCATATCAGATGAGCTAATAAAAAACATTATAATTACATATATCTGACGGTGACCGCAGCGCCTTGGGTCCTGCGCAGCTGGAGCAAAGTAAGCCATAAGGACAATTTAGACTTTGAAGTGCCATTGCCATGCGAACTTATTTTAATTAGACGCGCGCACATAAATGCTTAACGCCCTCGCCGCAGAGCAGTTTCATCTGGAGACAATGCGACCGTCGACTGTCGACCGTAAAAACAGGTGCCCAGCCTTGAGGGGTGAAAGGTGGGCGGGGTGAAAGGTGGGCGGGGCGAAAGGTGTGCGGCGAGCGCCGTGTCGTGTAACTCACATTAACCGATGCCATGCAATGCAGCCATAATAAGAGGCGAGCACAAGTTTAATTAGTGCAGCCAGTGAGGCCAAAGGAAAGCGGAAGCCTGTGGCCACCGTTGCGTATGAGCAATGTGTGTTCGTGTGATAAAACGGCCCGGCCGCATCAAGGTCCCCCTGTCTGTGTGGGCACTTTTATTGCTGTCATCCATCTGAGGAGTAAAACTCTTATGGTCATAAAACTCTAGAACGCACGGGGTAAAAACAAAGCCAAACCCAACCGAAAACCAAAAGGAAAAAAGCAAAAAACCAGAGCGGAGCCACCGCAAAAAATGTCAGAGTGCTGAACTAATAATGGCACCTGTCAAAATTCGTTAGCCCCAAGCGGGAGAATGGGGAAATCGGGGGAAGCAACTTTGGTCCGAATGACGAAACTCAAGCGACATTCATAGTGATTTGGTTTGGCAGTTTTGTGTCATTTGTTGGATCCAACCGATGGCACACATGGCTGGAGCTACACTCAGGAAACTATTATGGGTTTTAGTAGCTTAAAATTTATGAATTTATATAAATAATATATTACTGAGTATTGATTCTAGAACGAATAAAAAGGATCATGAGCAGAAATGCATGTATGGAAAAATATAAATATATAAATTTGATAGATATTCTTCTCTGTGCAAAGTGCCAAATCCTGACCTGGTGATGATGCCGTTGCAAGGGGCCTCAAGTCGCACACTTGGATAGCTCCTGCTGATATGGCTCGAAGGACGCAGATGAATGGGAAAAAAAAACGGGGATCATATAGCAGCAGTGGAAGCGGCAGCGAAGACAATGAAATTTATCACCCAACCGCAAAGCCACAAAACTACAGATACACCAACAAAAACGTGACATCTAATAAAGGCCGGGAGATGGAAAAGGGGTGGCTTGAGGGAGGTGATGGCAGTTCAACACCATTGTGCACCAATGAATGTGAAGTCTAAGACTGCGCTTTAGTTATGCACTTTATGAGGGACCTTGCAGCACTTTGATGGCTCTCGGTGGCCGTGTTCTTCGCCTCCCCGTTTGGGATTATGGCCGTAATGCGTGGCATAAAAACCAGACCGACCCTGAACACACCGTATATCTCTAATGATGATGATCACCGGCTTTTTTCGGTTTCTCGAAAAACTTTAATCGCCCTCAACAGCACCCAGCCCATCAGTTTACGTTGCTGTCGTGGGGAAGATGTCGCTGTTGTCCGACAAAGCCGCAAACACTTCATGAAACTCAACAACATGCAGCTGGAACAGGAGCAGCAGGACCAGCAGGAGCTCCTGGAGCTGGACACGACATGTGTGGCATGTGCCACACGCATGCGTTGCATGCCAATGTTGGCTGCCATATAAACAGAATAAGAAACTGCATAGAATTTGCAATGGCAATGAGAAAAGTGGAGCAGGACAGTAGGAAAGCGGCAACACCGAAAAAAAGACCAAATGCTTTTTACATATTCTTTAAAATTTGTTATTAGTCTAATAAAAATATGTATTTTTAACTACATATTTGTTTACTTATTATCACAACGAATTTGCTAATTTATTTGTTTAAAAATAGTTTTTATAAGTTGTTTTCTTTTTTGAAAATACTGATTCTCTAAAGAAAATAAACAATTTTCATAAATTAAAACTAAAAAAATGTCTAATAAATTATCAATAAAATGCTAATCGCTCACCAATTGTATTACTAGTTTTTGCCGCTGCATGCACAGCTAAGCGGCAGCTGGCCAAAGTCGAAGGAAGTTGGTTGGCTGCCATGTCAACGGCTAAATGACACTGGCACTGGGAATGGGAATGGAAATGGGAATGGAAATGGGAATGGAAATGGTACTGGTGCTGGGGACAGTGGCCCTGTGGGTGCTGGTGTGTGTGCGAGTGTGCTGTGCGGTTGTGTGCCACTTCCGGTGACAATGTGCAACCGTGGCAAAAGGAATGAATACGACGACGTGCAAGTGAACGAGCCGGATGAATGGTCAGTGGCAATGCACAAAGGCCGGCGACTCGATTTGGGATTGCAACAGGAATAGGAATAGGAATAGGAATAGGAATGCGAATAGGGATATGGCCAGAAATAGGAACAGGAATGGGCCAGGCCCTTGTACTCCGACTCGGAATCGCAATGTTTGCCGTTGCATCCAAAACACTTGCCATGCAGCCAATACTTTGAAAATATGTGTGAATATTCCCTAGATTCTTCCTCCGGCCAAATTCGTATCTGTCTCTGCATTATGATTTATGACAAAGGGACATGTGTAATTCAAAGCTCATAAATTTATCGCTGCACTGTGAAAATATCTGTCAGCCATTGTCATACTTGGTTGCCATGTCAACCAGATACTACTATCGCTTCTATTGGAAACCAAAAAAAAGGGGATTCATAGATGAAATCTCTCCTATAAACTTCATAGTTCATTATTAGTAAAATTTAAATGAATAAAATGTACCTAATGGCAATAAAATTGTTCAAATGAATCCCAAACTTTTTCGTCTTTCTAGGAAATGGGCTTGACTTTAGTGCCCCTTAACTGCAACGATAAATTCAATTAATTGCATTTTATTTCGATTATCCTTCGTCGCAAACCGCTTTGCCACATAAATGTCAATTGCGGTCATTGAATTCTTGAGT